GGCGACCAGGCCAGGTTCCGGAGCCTCTCCTCCCTGCGGGCGCACCTGGAGTACAGCCACAGCTACGAGGAGAGAAGCCTCCTGACCAAGAGCAGCCTCTTCTCGCCCCTGAAGGACGCGGAGCTGATCTCCCCGCCGGAGCCCGGCAGCCTGGGGAGCCCCGGCGGTGCCTTGCCGCCAAAAGGGTCCTACCTGAATTTCTGCGATGCGTCCTGCGAGGGCACGAAGCGCGGGCAGCCATGAGCGGCCCGTCTCCTACGTTGCAAACTACGTGCCGGCCGACTCGCCCAGCGAGCAGGTGTCTAAACCCGGCCTCCCGGGCGCTGACTCCAAAGCCTCCTTCGAGGCACACGTCAGAGAAAAGTTTAACAGGATGGTAGAGGCCGTGGACAAAACGATTGAGAAGCGGATCGACAAGCTTACCAAAGAGCTGGCCCAGAAGACGGCGGAGCTGCTGGAGGTGCGGGCAGCTTTTGTGCAGCTGTCCCAGAAGAAGCAGGAGGTGCAGCGACGGGAGCGGGCCCTGAGCAGGCAGGTGGACGTGGCAGTGGAGATGATCGCAGCCTTGAAGCAGCGCCTCACCGAGTCCGAGGAGGAGCTTCATCGGAAAGAGGAGTAAGTGGGGAGGCGAGAGGTGATGGCTTTGCCGTGGGCTGGCCAGCGCCTGTGCGAGTGAAAGCTTTTGGGGGAGAAGAGAGGGGATGGTTCTGTTGCTTGCTGACTATGAAAGGGCTTGGTGCTCACCAGCCTCTGATCACTGTAGTTCTGGAGTTCTAGCCCATGTGATCGTGTCCCCTGCCTTGCAGGGGACAGCTCCCCGAGCAAGTGGCTTTCATGCTTGACTCCCCAGTGACTAACTTTTACACTCTCTAATGCCTGTGTTGTGTCCCTGGTTTCATGGGGGTAGGGACAAGTAGAAGCTATCATCAGCATGTAATCTGATTTACACTGACACCTCTAATCCGTTATCTTTTTAAGAAGAGATGGGTGGGTAAGTGCTGGAGGAAGTACGTAAGAATACCACCTTTTCCCTGAAGTCATCCCACCACGGTCAGCATGTAGGAGTGGTCAGCAGGCGGAGTGGGATGGTCTCCAGTGCAGCAGCAAAGCTGTACTGGAGATGGTGCTGAGAAGGCCACGTCCAAGTAGGTGTGTTAGATGGACACAGAACTGTGAAACTGGAATCGCTTATATGGGAATGGGAAGCAGATGCCAGAGTCGTTCTGACTAACCTAGGCCATCTAAAAATATGTTTGTGATGCATCCATTAAAAATGTAGTGATAGCTGATATATTATTTATACATGAACTACTTAGTTTATTTAGCACTTGCTGAAACCTTTCAGGCTTTTTGGAGCAACACAACTTATTTCAGAGGAATGCAAATAAAGAGCCTTGGTAATGGAGTGCTTCTAAACCAATTCATCAGCTTACAAAGGGAAGATGAGAAGTGCTAGTTGCCATGACACTGATCTTAGAAGAAATAAGGAAGGTGGTGTAGGAGTTCAGTGTAGGAAGTTTGGAGGGCTTTCATCATTCCTTCCTGTAGTCTAAGGACTAGAAAGAAAAGATGATGATGGCTCCTATATCAGTAGAAGTCATTTATCTTAAGGCAGTGCTATAGATTTCCCAGAAGAGGGGACAGCAAAGGTGGTGAGATTTGAGCCTCTGGGGTTTGTATCTTCCTTGAAGGGATATTCAACAGAACCTCTGATTTTTGAAATGTCGGGTGATCCTCGTGCAACAGAAGATTGAAGGACTCAAGATGAAGCTAAAGGTAATAGTGGAACTGAGAAAGATTTGAAAGTATGCTGGAAGGAGTCCATGAAGATAACTTACAGTTTGAAGCAGTTTTGGTATTCCCATCTAGCCAAGGTCCCCTTATGGGCTTTTCACAGTGTGATTCATCCTACTTATTCTAGAAAGCTATCTTAGAGGGGGAGGGATTGCTCTGTGGAGGTCCTTCCTCCTTCTGCAACTAGAGGGGGACCTCAGGTAAGCAGGCATCTTAGGCTAGATGCTGAACTTCAGGTACCTAAAGTTAAGTGGCATGAATCTTATCCCAAACTAAACACAGAATGTGTTTTTAAAATTCAAAGGCTTGAGATCCACAGGAAAGACATGACTGTCAGGAAAAAGCAGAAACCATTCAGTGGAGCAAAACCAGAGTTCTGTAGTGCTGCAGAAGAAGAAAAGGGCTCATGGCAAAAGAGGAAGGGGGGAATAGGTTTATCTGGGTAGAAAGAACGGGTATGATACGGGGAGGACGGCAAAGGACACTGATCTGTGAAAAGAATAAGGCAGCAAAAGTTGCAATTTGTAATTGTATTAGGAAAAGGCACGAGGAAGATGCTGCTTGCCCCCTTGGCCGACTGCTTGCTAGCAGCGGTGACAGGCTGTGGTTCTGAGGCCAGGAAAGACTGAACACAGAATGAGAGGAGAAGTGGGGAAACAGTGTCCTTCACAGTAGGACCTTGCCAGGCTCGGGAAAGGGGCAGGAGCTCAGATGATTGCTGTTATAATTCTAGCCGTCTCTAAAGGAGGAGGGTGAATGCATAAGCAGATGAGGAGGTAGCTCCTAAGTTGGTGTTACAGGGAAGACTGACGGTTATTTGACTAGTAAGAAACACTAACCAAAAGAGGCAGTTGCACAAGAGATTTCACCTGAGTACCCAGGGTATTGCTCTTCCAGGATTACTGCTAGCTTGCTTCAGCTTTCAGTAGAGAAGATAAAAAAACTTGGAAGCAAAAGCAGCCATAGGAATGAGTGAATAGATATTATGCAGTGGTGTGTTACTTTCTAAAGGTAAATGCTTGCTAGTGGGTAGGATGAAAGAATATCAGCTCAGAGTACCGAGGGGAAAAGAGAGGAGTCATAGTATGTTCTTGCATGTACCTGTGCCTAGCCCCATAGCGTTACCTCTTAGAAGTCACTCTGAAAGTACTCTGAGGAAGCTGGGAGGGTAGGCAGGGTGTAAGAATAGGTAGAGTTCACTCAGAAAAACTGAAAATACGTAATTTTTTTCTTGTTCAGATGGTTCCTGCATTTCCCATCTTGGGGGATAACAAGGGATAGTGCCATAGAAAAATGCACTGTACGGCTTCCCAATTAAAAGGTCATTGTATAATTATCAAATTGAAAAGGAAGATAGGTATAAACAATGCTTTGTAAAAGCAGGACTAGTACTTCTAAGGGCAGCTTTTCAGATTTGAACCTCTAAAAATGCCTGGGACACAGCTTTGTGCCAGTAGCAGGGAAGCACTGGATGGTATGCTCTGGTAGAGGGGAGAAGAAACGATGTTCATGACTCTGGGAACAACAGTGTTGCTTGTCTGGTGTTCTCATGGACTGTTGGTAAATTCTGAGACCTGTCTACTTATTCATTCCTTTGTGTGTTCAAAAACTTATTTGGTGTGCTGAAAAGACTTTCTCCTTCAAAAAGGAGGATCTCAACTTTGGCTTTGATTTCTGGAAGAAGTCCAGATGATTAGAAAGCCAAACAAGACTGCTTAATGGAAATTGCAGAAGCAGGAGTTCTCACTGCAGATTGTGGAAAGTCAAAGGCAGCCCTTAGGGACTGCTTTGATACTTGCTGACCTTCAGAAATAAATGCTTTCATCAGTTTCTTTGGATTTTTTTTTTTCCATAAGCAGTCTTGTGAATATGGATAACTTTTCCCAAAACTAGCATTGATATTGAGCCACTGTAGCTGAAAATTTGTTCCTCTTTCCTCTTTGTAGGAGGAAAAAGAAAATACCTTCTTCCCTGAAATACCTTCTTATCATCCTATTTCTAAGGAAGTAAAAGAAACCAGTCTTCCTTTGGTCTCTGAATGGTTGTCGCCACTACCAGAGATCATGGAATAGGGTGCATGTGAAAGCAAGAAAGGGTTTATAATCAATATGCATTTCTAGATCTCAAAGAGACTGAGGTATGACTACTCTAGATCAGTCTGAGGGTTTGGGGGAGGAGGAAAAAAAAAAAAAAAAACAACAACAAAAAAAACCCCCCATCACCCCCAAACCAACAAACTATCTGATAAAGGAAAAAAATTCTAGTCCAAGTCTTAGATATTGTCACAAAAAGTATTATTTGGAGGCTCTGTAGAGAAGCTGACAACTTTTATGGGGATCCCTTCAAGTAATTCTTGAAAAATAACAAGGTTCTGATAAAGAAGTTACAGGTGTTTTTACTAGGCCCATATTTGAGTATTCCTCCATATCCACCTACTCTGTCAATATCTTATATCAATGGACAATCAGTATCGGAGATCAAATGATTCCATAATACTGAATTTAATAATTCAGTTTATTTTCATCTTTATAAAATATGCCCAAATAATCCAGGGACCTATCTGGGCTATTAGGCTAGACCTGCGTCTACATGTAAGAATGAAAGAATTAACCAAATGTGGAAGAGGATGTATTTGCAGGTTTAACAATCACTCCTGACCTATAAATTGGCTATGGAAAAAAAAAAAAATTGGGATTTAATAAATTTCTTCTTCAGAAGGGTATACAAAAAGATGACAGAAAAAGCAGTACAATTGCACTTTGGATAATGGTTCTGATTTTTGGATCCGATTGTGAAGTCAAATAGGAAAGCTAAGAGAAAGAGAAAACGTGCATTAGCAAGAATAATTTGGTTAGGAAGACCCAAGAAGACTTGGGGAGGAGAGATCTAACTTCTTTGTTTAAACATCCTGGTTTCTGGAAGGAGAAGATGGAGCTCTTCTAGGCCTGGCATCTTTCCTTTCTGCCCAGCGTAGCAAAGGCAGACATCACACTGCTGTGACTCTGGCAGTCCTCAGCAGAGGCAGTAGACCTGAGGTCACTTCGACTCGATGAAATTTCATTTCTGCTTCTCTGTTCTACCTGCAGAAGCCCGTATGTCCTGAGCCTCTGCTTGGACCCAGCACGTGAGATAGATACATAAAAACCGTGATCCACCAAGTGGCCACATTGTCAGAAGCTGGTTTCTCTGATGTGTTCTCCAACGCAAGCAGCAAGTCTTTAGACTTAAGAAGTCTGTAGGGAGTAAATTCTTCTCAGATTTACATTGTCATTACTAATGAAAGCACTAATTTCAAATGACAGCACTATGAGGTTTTACTGTTTATTCCCCCATTCTGATGAGAGGGAGGAGTGCTGGTTTAGGCCACCAGCAGGCACAGGGCTGCCCATTCAAAGAGTTCGTAGAGTTGTTTCTTTAGACTTGTCAGTTGACTTTTTTTTGTTTGTGTTAAATAAAACCTATAGCAGTCCAACAAAGGCAGTGATAAAGCAAAGATATCTTTTTAGTTAAATTTTATTCCCGTTCCCTTACCAAAATGGCTGTGCTAATACGCACCCGGGTACATGCTGTTATAGTAGTGTATGCCCTTGTGGAGATGAGCTTTGGTGAGGGGCAAGACAGGTGGAGGTACCACACTAATGATACTAATACATAGTTGAACTAGTCTTACTCTAAGCACAGGAGAGCGTTACAGAAGTCACTCTGGTGTCACTTATTCTCATATTTAGAAAGTCAAAAGGCCAAAGCTTTTTTTTTATTATTTGGGGGGAAAAAAAGAAAACTGGATGTCCTAAAGAAGCAGGCACAGCTACCAAAGACAG